TAATGCACTGATCTATTATCAGTGATTCTATGTATTTTTTACCGCTTCTTACACAATGGTTCGCCCCTAACCTTAAAAAAAAAACTTAAAAAGCAGTTTCTCGTAATTTACTCCCGCTTAATGCATTTTTGATAGATGGTTTAGCATTTGTTTTTTGTATTTCTCATTGCCTAATATAAATATGGTCTTACCTCAGAGTCGACATAAAACTGTACGTTCCTAAACTAAAAGAACTCTCAAAAAATGTATTTTTACCTTCTTTACAGCTGTTTAAAGCATTTTAAAGATTGGCATAAGGTTACATTTTTATACTTTTTATCGCCAAGTACGTAAATAATCCAACTATTTACTGCACACAAAGCAGTTTACCCTCTAACCTTAAAAATATTCTCTACAAATTAGTTTTCTGCAGTATACAGACGCTAAAGAAAATTGAAATATGGGATTTATAGATTTATTTCCACACTTTTATCGCTAAAAATGTTTATTATCTTTGATGGCAGTTCTTTGTTAACCTAAAAAAACTTCGCATCCTACCCGAGGGGTAAACCACTTTAAAATCTTAGAGACCAACGTTCAATGTTAGTGGACGTTGTGGTGAGATTTTTTTCCTTATCAGTCGTTATCAATAAGAAAAACTTGCTTAATCGGTGCTTAATCAATGCTTAGCGACGCGTTGTTCATGACTACCCTTGTTATTCTTATCCTTAGCCGTTAATTCGTAAGCTATTTTTAATTTTAAAAAATCAGTGGTTTACCCCTCGATCCTACCTATGCAATAAAAATGAGGTTTAAATGATATGTTAAAAATATTTACTATATAGTAGTTATTACATAACAATATGCTGAATTTGTAATTATCTATATAAGATTCTAACGATAATTAAATCCGGAGCCATTTGGAGCATTCGAATACTTTTTTAAGAGTACATTTTTATTTGGTAATACCACAAAAGAATATTATTTTTGGTACGAATTTAATTATCGGTAGATGTAGATTATTACAATTTTAGCATATTCTTATGTAATAACTATAGTATACCTACTATATAAAAAATATTTTTAACATACGATTTATGCAAAATGTTATAGGTTAACAAAGAATTGCCGTCAAAGAAAGATTATAATCGTATTTAGCGATAAAAAGTGTGGAAATAAATCTATACATCCCATATTTCAATTTTCTTCAGCATGTGTATCTGCAGAAAACTAATTTTTAGAAAATATTTTTAAGGTTAGGGATAAACTGCTTAGTCTGCAATTTATAGTTGGATTATTTACGCACTTGGCGATAAAAAGTATAAAAATTAAACCTCATGCCAATCTTTAAAATGCTATAAAGAAGGTAAAAATACATTTTTTAGGAGTTATTTTAGGTTAGGAACATACAGTTTTATGTCGACTCTGAGGTAAGGCCATATTTATATTAGGCAATGAGAAATACAAAAAACAAATGCAAAAATATGTATCAAAAATGCATTTAGGGTCTGTAAATTTCACAAAACTGCTTTTTAAGTTATTTTTTGGGGTTAGGGGCGAACCATTGTGTAATCAGCGGTAAAAAAAACATAGAATCACTGATAATAGATTAGTGCATATAATCAAATTCAATTTTTAATTTTATAACGCTGTTAGTTAATGTAAACTACCTAATACGGTTTTTTTAAAGTGATGTATATTGCTTGCAGTCACTATATTGACACCGCCATTTTGAAATTTTACAAAATACCACTCGGCATTTGAAAGTTAAGACGATAAGCTAAAAATTTATCAGTTGCACGTTTCGAAAAACTTTAGTCAATTTTGCACAGGAGGGGGTGGCCGAGTTGACATGGAATGCCTCATATATATATTATATTTTGATTTGATTTGGCTAATATTTATATTTTTATATTTTCCTACCCCACTAAAAATGTTTTTCAGAATTTTTTACCCAACCAAAAAAAGTTAAAATTAAAAATAAATGGCTTTTTTAAATTTTTTTATTTTAAATCTACTTTTCACACAAAAATACAAAAAAAAACTCTCAAATTCAATAAAATATTTTAATTATTTTAGAAAAACCATTAATTTTTCAAGTTCGCCATTTATTTTTTATAATATTTTTATCCTGCCATTAATGCTGCTTTTCCCAAAGTGCCCATGGACCGACTTTTATAAGTTTATAACTCGTCAAAAAATCCGTTCATGTATTAATTTAAGGAGTGATAACCTACATATTGTCAATCCCTAAATATCGAACTGCGCTTTTCAAAAGATAGCTTCTTATAATGCAATAGCATCATATAACTCGCTGCCCAGTACATTTAAAAATCTAACAATGATAAAATTTAAGAAAGAACTAAAAGAATACCTATTTGCAACATAATTGTGAACTGATTTTGGAAATATTGTGTGCTCCTTGTACGTTTTTTTGTTTCCTTATCTATTTGATAACTAGGTATATATATATATGTGTGTACTTACATAATTGTTGAGAATTCATGTTCGACCTGCCGTCATGTACTTTTTTTCTTTTGGCTTCTAGTGGTTGAGTAGAATAGCTTAAAGCTAGACTTCGCCACACTGAAGCATATTTGTTTTGTTTATGTAATTTTTGGTTAAGGAATTAATAAAGTCGTTTTTATTTATTTATTTATATATAATGTAATTATTAAAAAAAAAATATTATTATTATTATTAAAAATATCTTATTAACCATAAAACCAAAAAACGATTGGCAAAACATAAAAAAAAATAATTTTCAATTAAATAAATAGAAATAAAAGTCAGCCCACTCTGGATTTAGCAGCGTTATTCACAGAATTAATCAAGGTTTTTATAAAAAAAAATAAAAAATAAAAAAAAGTGTGGGGTTTAAATGTTACTATTTTTTATTAATATATTTATTGTCACCCATAATATAACAAGTGGTATGATTATCATCGATGATCAGGGCCGGATTAAGAGTTTTGGGGCCCTGGGGCCGACATTTGGTGGGGGCCCTCAATATTTCTAAAAAAAATTGACACTTTAAAACTCATGGTAAACTTTTAAGCTAGAGGAACTTTACGTGATTTTTTATTATCCTTGAATCATTTATTATTTAATAAACCATATAAATTTTTAATAAAATCGGCCAAAACTAATTTTTTTTAAACGAAAAACCCTATATCTCGATAATGAAGCTTTTTCATATTTTGATGAATTTCCACTGAGCTTTTATCACCACAAGTCTGAATCACCCTGTATATTTTGAATAATACGAACATAACCATATACATTTTACCCAAGTCTGAGAAATTATAAATTCGTATGCAAAACTATAAAAACGTAGATAGTAGAATAGAATTGTGAATGAAAGTGTTTGTATATACTTTATATTTTATATATTTTGAATAATACGAACATAACCTTATATATATTTTACTCAAGTAAAATATAAATTGATGTATGTTTTGTTTGTATTTTTAATACTTTTCGCAAACTGAAAAAAAGTGCATCAAAAGTCGTATTATTTGTCTGTTTTTCATACAAAATCATCAATAATAAAACAATGTTTTGTCCAAAGAAAAGAACAAAACATTATTTCGAAACACCGGAAAATATTCCACAACACTCCAATGTACCAATAAAAATCTGGGACAAAAACTAACTTTAATATTAGATTAGGACCTAATCTAATATTAAAGTTAGTTTTTGTCCCAGATTTTTATTGGTACATTGGAGTGTTGTGGAATATTTTCCGGTGTTTCGAAATAATGTTTTGTTCTTTTCTTTGGACAAAACATTGTTTTATTATTATACCTGGTATAAGTAATCGACTGTTTGCCTGTATTTACAAAAAAGTTACGAAAAGCACTAAAGGAGCAATTGTTTTGAGTCATAACTTATGACTATAAACTACATAAAAACGTCTTCGCGCGCCAAAACTTTGAGTGTGATAGTTAGATCTACGAAAAATTAAAGAATTCGCGCGGTATAACCGACCCAATTTTTTATTTTTTTGATAATTTTTTTCATATTCGTTTCATTAAAAAGCTACATATTGCATTGGTGGGGCCCCCTAAATGGTGGGGGCCCTGGGGCCGTGGCCCCGCTGGCCCTGTCCTAAATCCGGCCCTGTCGATGATATTTTCGAATTGAAACCGAGCTGCAGTTTTCACGAGTCCGCAGGACGAGTGAAATGTGCTGCTTCGGTTTCAATGAGTAAATATCATCGATAATTATTATACCACGGATTTAACGAATTGTCAGTTTGACATTTGAAATTAAAATGTGCTTTAAAATATAAAAAGACTTTAATAAACCTTATTTGTTCAAACTTACCTTAATTTTATTATCGTTTACACCAACCCATCGATCTTTTAGAGTTTATAATTCATTATTTTAATCATTTAACAAACACAGTATTTAAATGTCAACAAATGTCAAATCAAGAAAAGTGTGATAATAAGGTGATAAGAAATATTGTCGCTGTCATAAAATGCGTAACCATGGAATACTGGCATTTTATTGGTTCTAATTATAATGAATTGTATTGTCAATTAAATTCTATTCGAGTATCTAATAAAGATGGAGTATTGTATTTTAAATCAAATTTAAAAGTGTTTGAAATAAGGATTTTTAAGATATAACATGCATAAATGTTTAAATTAATTTTTTAAAGAAAATAATAAATAAACGTCTAAGAAATAAAAAAATCGAGCTTACTTTTTCTTAAAATAGGTCATTAAAAATATGAAGAAATTTTACATGAAATGCTTTTTTTAATTTTTTAAATAAATTACCTGTTTTAGCTTTTTATAATTTTAACTTCTTAATTTAGCTTGTAATAAGAAAATATTATTTATTAGGATGATGTAAAATGAAATTGTGTTATTTTAAATAGGTACCATTATTTTACTTTGTTAATATTTTACCTTTTTTGAAATAAAACTATTTCATCTTCCTTCCTTTCTGTTTACTTATTATATTTCCTTTTTACTTACTTATTTACTGTTATTTATAATAATTTGCAGGCACAAGAAAAGCAGTCGCCGTCATCACTCGCCCAATAAACAACAAACTGACAAATTTAGTTACGACGAAAAACACATCGCCAAATATCACCACCGCAACTCCACCGCCTCCTCTTCATCGGGTGGACCGTCCCGCATGACGCCCCCACTTCCTGACCTAAGAGTGGACTTCTTCGCCGAACCCAATAACTTGGTAATTTAAATTATCTAAGAATTTATTTAGCTTTCTAATCGATCTTTCATCCGATCAAGATAGAATTTGGTTCACATAAATAAACATACATAAAATTATTAAAGATAGCGATGCATATTATTTTTAAAGGCTTTTTTCTTATTAATCACAGAATAACAACAGAAAATGGTAAATATGACAGGTCAAAAAGATAAATTAAATGTATACTAAAAAAACAATAAAGACAATATTTTCCTTAAATTCTTCTATGGTGTAACAGCATGCAAACTGCAGAAAAGATGGAAAATATGAAAAGTCATATATTTTGCATGCCAATGCATTTCAATGAAGATTTTATCCCTAGGTCTGGTGGTATATTGACACTTATTTTTATTTACTAGACAAAGAAGTTTGTATATATTGTAAGAGTACAAACCCCCCAGCAAAGAATCTGTAAAAGTTACACCAAGTGTTAAAATGAAATATAACACCACGGGAAATGTTATATTAAATTACGACAAATAAATAAAATAAATACTTAAGGTAATAAAGCTCATTAATTTAGCAACCCAAGGTATACTTTGGTGGTGTTGTATTCATGGAAAAAGTATACAAAGGGAAATAATAAATACAGTAAATAAAAGACAAAAATCACGTTTAAACTCAGGTGCAAGACCTGGAAGGCTTCCGTTTATTTTTATATAATTATCTCTCATAAAATGAGGGATTATGGGAGTAAGTTAAACGTATAAAACACTCAAAATTTATAACAAACAATAATGTAATTTATTTGGATAAAGCAACAACAGTAACCATAACCCAAACGACATTTAACTTATTTTCTGAAAGAGAACTTTGAAAGAAAGGGACATCCTACAAACCCTTAAAACCACACAATACTGCGACCACAATCCACATATATAATAAATAATTAAATAAATTAATAAAAATACATCATAACCATTAGTCTTAACGCCTCTACAAGTATCTCAGGTGGGAGCTCTTTGTCTGATGTGATGTTCGTTGATTTCACAATCCACACAACAAGGTCTGTTCTATCTCGTTTCGCGCATACTAAAAATCACTGCAACACTGCACAGAGTTTAACGGCGGCCATTTTTGTTTACAATTCTTGTGCTTTGGGTTTGTGCTCTGTTTATACAGATTAATAATCGATTTAAACTTGCAGTGCAGTGTTGCAGTGATTTTTAGTATTTTTAGTACGAGGTAGAAAAGACCTTGTAGTGTGGATTGTGGTTGGTTTTGTTTATTTGTTTTTTAGCGACTGCTTTGGTGCGGGTAGTTGTGTGCAAATTGATCGGTGGCGAGGTATTTACAAACTTAACTTTATTACACTACATATATACACAATATACAATACAATACAAATATATACACAAACAGAATTATAATTTAAATGTGTTGTCACCCGGAGTCGATGTACTCAAAACGGGGAGTCAGTACGTTCTGTGGGGTGATAGACCAAGACCTTTTCCAAGAGCCCTTTGGTCACCCACCCCTAATCGTGGTAGGGGATAGGTAGGAAACATTTGGAAAAATTAAAGCGCATCTATAAAAAGGTAATAAAAATAAAATTAAATAAATTACTTTGGGTAAAGGAACCGAAGAGGTAAGTAAGCAATAGTTAAGGATGTTTACCGATGTTAGGAAACTCCAATATTTTACAAGGCTCCAGGTAACAAACACACGCTCTATGCAATATACTATTTACAACCTACTACCTGAAAAATTTAAACATAAGTACTGAATAATAATAATTCGAAATACATAGCAATCAATTAATAAAAATTATTATAAAAATCACTTAAATCGTACTATGACAGATAAGAGTGGGAAATCCAGTCCCCACAATTTGTTTGTTGGGTGAAAGTAGATTAAGTCTTTGTCTCTATTTTTGTATTTTAAATGTAACTTTATCCCTCAAAAATTTATTATTCGTCATCCGTAGAAAGTTTTTATAATTTTTAAATGTATAATTTAACTTAACTGTTACATGATAATCCTTATTCATGTATTATTTACATTAGAGTTTAGACTCATTCGACTGTTAGAATAAGGAGTAAATAAATAATCGGATTCGAGATCGTTTCAATTTAGGGTTCGCAATTGTCTATTATGCCTCATTTGTCGGCAAACTTTAACAAAGCAATAATTACCATAAAATAATAGTTAATAATAATGACACAAATAACAAAGACAATGCCACAAGATGAAACCAGACCTGCCGTCACCTCTTAAAATTTACAGGATCGTAATTCAAAATGGGCTTCTTATGTCAGGAGACCACGGACATTGGTCATAAATTAAATGTCGCTATCGTACAATCACTGTTGCTACTCACTCTAAATGTAATATAGTATAGTACAATTTAATAAATCCCATATTCAAGAAAATCGATATCAAGTACACTTAATTTGTCCAACGTTTATGGTAAATCCCCTTTAAGAATTATTCATTAAAATAATTAAATAAAATCAAATACAACCTGACATTTAGCTAGATAAAATCAAGTACAACCCTGCCCTTTTAATTAGATAAAAGCAAGTACAACCCTGACCTTTTAATTAGATAAAATCAAGAACAAAATGTAGAATCTAACGTAATGCGAGATTGTTCAAACTTAAATTTACATAATTTCGATTATAAGCGTGGTTTATTAAACAGCAGCCATCATGGCGGAATGGATAGATCGATGGTGCCAAGTCATGATCGAATATTTATCTTTATACAAGGTATTTGTGTAAGCTATTTATACCAATTTGTTCGGGATTATTTATACTACAATAATTTTGTTATTAGAATGTACAAATTTGTAAATTAAACACACTTTTCTATTCACCATATTTTCACCTGTTGTTTGTTACACCGGTTTTTCTAGAATGCCTGTTCTTCCTTCTAGGCTACTTTCACTCTTCCTTTTATCTTTCGGCATTCTACGCCAAGCGATCGGCACTTATAACATTACCAACCTTAAAATTGCTTAGTTCCCTGCTTCCCGCCAGATTTAAATGTTAGTTTATTTAAATGACTTTTTGAATACATTTTAAACAATTAAAATCGTAATAACCCACGGATTGTTTAGTAGGGGGAGGGGTATTTGCAGATCACCTCAATATAGACACTTAGAAAAGTTAAAATTCCATAATTTTTAAAATAAAATCTACAAGAATCTAGTTTTTTCGATTAAAAATAACCCTATTAGCATATTTTTGCAAGATAAAAATTCTATTACTATTTCTAGCAAGACCCAAGGATAAAATATTAAAACTCAAAATGGTATAAATATTTGTAAAATACACATTAAGAAGAGCTGAAATATTTAATTTATCTCTTGGGCTATATAATTGATAGATGGATTTTTTTTTAGTATTATAGCTATAAAATCGATGTGTTCATCCCATGCAATAGATTTATCTATTATCATTTCTAAAAATTTGGACGAACTCGAGGAATTTTTTTCTTAAGATTACTATAGGAAAATTGGATCAACATTAATTATTAATCTATTTTTAAAACACCAGTTGCTAAATTCAGTTATCACAGTTTGAATTAAATTAACAATTTCACTTTCGGTCTTGCCATATCCAACAATATCATCATCAACAATGTTGATTCAACATACGCAGATTTCCCACGCTGATGTATTTGGGGAAATCATTAATAAACCATATAATCAACAAGGGACCCAGAGTATACTACCTTAAGGTTTTCCAAGGGTCCTATTATATATCTTTGAATTTTCTTTAATATAACCTTAATATAAAATTGTATATTGGACACTATGATATCAGCCATTTGTTTATATTTCCTCGTATACAAAGGTTATATTTTATTAGACAAAAAATCTGTATATGGAGTAAAAAAATAACATCAACCAGCTCTAAAATGTATTCATAATGTTACAGTGCAATCTACAAGTGGAAGTGTCCCAAGAAAAGCGCGGCAGCGTGTGCCTGAACAAATGCTTGCGCGAGGTGGGGGCCCAGCTGGACGCCTCCTCGATTAACGTAACCACGAATCCTCTAGAGAATTCAGCGGTGCACTTTGCCAGTCGCAAACCGCCGCAGGCGACGATCGTGGTGCAACAGCCGTCACTGAGTTTGGATCACTCGAGCGTGTCCACGATCCTGTTGAAGAACGGTAGTGAGTTTGTGTCGAACGTTGAAACTGGAAAGTTTACATTGAAAAAGTATAAGGAGGATAACATGAAGCAGCTACTCGACGTAGCGAATAATTTGACGTTGGAGGAAATACACGATTTTGAGATGAGGTGAGTACCTACCTATTTAATCGGCAGAAGCGACCAACACCTGTTGATTCACTGTTTATATAAAGTTTTGATGCATAAGAACTTATTATTATTAAGTGTCTATTGAATTAAATGCAATTTAAATTACAGGGTGCTTTATAAAATAAAAGTCCAACATACCATTTATTATTTACGACGAAAGCATTTTAAGTTGTCTTCATTCGGCATTCAGAATAATTCATGTTCATTGCCATAGTTAAAATATGAGCAAAAATTTTGTAAACCTACCACCCTTTTTTTAAATTTAAAATTACATGAAAATATTTTTATTTTTAATTTTTTTTCTAAAATAAGTATACAAACTATCAAAAGCCTTCAAATTAAATTGAAATATCGTTGGGTTATCTTTTGATTAAGAACGACAAATTTAATAAAATATATAATGTCTGAAACAAGACCTAAGTATATACAATTAAGTAATTTTCATTATTAACACCTTGTGTATAAAAAATCTGACATCTGTCAGACAGTTCCAACCTAACTTTTTTCCAATTTAAAACCCATCACTGCAATTTAAATAATGAAGTCTATGTCTGACAACGGGAACAATGAGTTCATTATTGCGAGGCGGAAAGTTGATTAAGCTTACCAATATACAGGGTGCACCAAGTATTCTTCTGTATAAGATTTTTTTATTTAAAGAGCTAAAGTGGCGTAATTACAAGTCCATTAAAATATCATTTAAAAATTAAAACAAAACCTGCGGATTTCAAATAATTTGAAAAAACTGAAAACCTGTCAAAACTAAAACGTCATTCCTAGAAATTTTCAAAAAAGTTTTACATCCATTATAAAAACAAAAAATGATGAGCAAAGCAAATTTTGACTTTATTTTGTAATTTTCAAATTTCGATAGCGCTCCCTAAACAATTTTTAATCTAGCTAATTTTTGGAAAGACCTCTTAAAACATGAAAAACATTTTTATAGGAGACTCGAAAAAAATTAGTTGTTTTTTTTGCGCCACCCTAGTTTACACATAGAAAGTGCACCCTGTATACAAAAAAAAAACAAATAATGTCGAAATTATTTAATAGGAGTGAAAAAATTAAATTTTGTTTTTTTACTTCCACCTTGAACGCCCATAATCGTACATGTCATGACACTAAGTAATCATTTAAATACACATTGACAAGCTATGGCTTTATGGCGCTTTAGTCACGGGCTGAAGTTAGCTTTAAATTAGTTAGGCAGTTGTCAAATGTCATAAAATCGTTAAAATAAAGTGCCCTTCTTGTGAAATAATTAATACTTTTGTATTTTTATTTTAAGATAATAAAAGAATTTTCATATTTAGTATTATTTTTCAAGAACGGCATTTTATTTTAACGATTGTATGACATTTGACAACTGTCAACTAACTTCAGCCCCTGACTAAAATTCTATAAAGCCACAACTTGTCAATGTGTATCTAAAAGGTCACTTAGTGTCACGGAAACATGTACGATAATGGGTGTTTGAAAGGTGGCAGTTGAAAAATAAATATAATACATAATGGCAAATTTATAAAAAATAGTAATAAAGTATTTTTTGAAGAAAACCAAAAAATAAACGATGTTTTCTATAAAAATAACTTAATTACAAAAAAAATATTTTTGGTCTACTAAAATTCCCAAAAGTGATTATCCATATAAACATAAACTTTACCATGGTCAACATTTGTTTTCGTGACAATGTCCCATAAATCACTTCAATATTTAGAGAAACTAAACCTATTTATAATAAAGTAGACATTGCCCAGACAATCCGCGGAAATTTGTAAAATAATCTGATGACACAATTTTGGCGATTCGTCAAAAGCAATTATTAGACTTTTCGGAAATGCACTCTTAACCAACTAAGCATGAATATATTTAAAATTACCTTGAAACGATTATAATGAATATTAGGAAGATAACAATTAGATTTATAGGAGACAGTTTGCAAATAACTTGAACAAAATGTAATCAAAAGTAATAAACACTTCACATGTATAAAATGTTTTTTGTGGATTAGATTCACTTGAACAACAGCAATTTTGCAAAACACAAAACCCAGAAAAAACGGATATTCTTATTGAAAAGCCCTTTATATCTTAAAAAAGTCAAATTTAAATATCCTATAAAGTATAAAGTATACAAGAATCTAGTATATTGTGCAATGAATGGAGAAAATGGTCGATTATTATAGCATTCGTTTGACACGCGAGCGAGGCAAGCTTGGCAAGAATGCGAGTTTATAATTGACCATTCTTCACGAGTTCCACATGTTATTTTATTCAACACCCATTTAATTTCTTAACTTTAACCGGTGGACAAAATTGTACTTTGCCCACTAGTGGGCGGAATAGTATTTTGCCCACGGGCTGGAGTTGACTTTAAGTTAAAATTGGAAAAAAGTTAGGTTAAAGTTTTCATTCAGATTTCAGATAAAATATCCAATAAAATTGGTTTTAAATATACTATTGTTTCACAATCAAATCAAAAATTAACACCGGTATAGAAATGATTTCACACTGTCTACTTGAAAGATACGTAATTTGCTTTCAAGGTAAGTTTTAAAAAAATAAGAGGTGTGTTCAGAAAATAACGGGAATTTTAGTTTTTTGAAAAAAATATTTATTTATTCGTCTACATTAAAGTTGTGGCCTTCAAAATAGTCCCCATTAGATATTATGCACTTGTGCCAGCGCTTCTTCTAATCCTCTAAACTCTTCTCAAACACGATATTTGGGATAATCTTTAGTTCTTTAGTGATGCACTTTTAATGTCATTTATGCTTGCAAAACGGCGGCCCTTTAAGGTTCTCTTTATTTTGAGGAATAGGAGCCATGTCTGGCGAATATGTAGGCTGGGGCATCATTACAGTATTGTTTTTGGCAAAAAATTGTGTTTAAAATTCAACAATTTTGAAACAAATTTTGCTGCCACGCGTTTCATACCCAAAACATTCAAAAAAAATTCATCGATATGCCAACATTATCAGCGATGTGATTCGGTGATCGTTCATAACCATTTCTTTTACTTTTTCCATGTTTTTATCGGTTGTTAATGTGCTTGGGCGTCTGGGGCGTTCGTCATCTCCAACGTCTTTACGGCCATCTTGGAAACTCATATATCACTTATAAACTCTTGTTTAACTCATAGCAGACTCACCATAGGCCTTTCTTAACATTTTACACACTTTATTTCATTTTTAACGCAAAATTTGATACAAATTCTTTGATCAATTTCTTTTAACGAACGAAAATCGCCGAGCTCATAAAAACACGTCTAACCTTAGCGGTTGCCACAGACAAAGTAAACAATGAAAACATTTAAAATTTGTATCATTCTTCAGGTAAATTTTATGACAACCGGACTCTCCAAACCCGCGAAATTTAAAAATTTCCGTTATTTTCTGAACACACCTCGTATAAATTAAATAGCTCCAGTTAAGTTTCATTGTTTTGGTAATAACTGGTTTTTGCACTGGACCCCTCAGATAATGTTTACTGCATAAAATTGGTACTGTTTGGCCGAAATTATTAAACACGTAATGTCACGCATCATTTTATTATTTATTTTTCCACCTACACGGAGAAAACAAAACAGTAACTATTTATGCGCAGAACAATTGGATAACGTTTATCAAAAAGGAACCAAGCTCCAAAAACTTTTTCTGGGCTTAGTAAAATTATTATATTAAGAGGGTCTCCAAATCATTATTAATTCTTTAAGGAGCATTAAAAATCAGTTATTTTGCAAATAATTTTGTTTACCCCCGAAAACGTTTTTGGCGCTTGGTTCCTTTTCTATAAACGTTATCCAATTATCCACTTGTTTTCAATTTTCAATTTAAAATAAAAATAACTAACTATTGCTGTTGTCAAAGTAACCGTTTATTAAAAATTGTATGATTTGAAAGTGACATTGACATTGTACCTATATTACGGCTACTCATTATAAACAGGCACACTGGTTTTGTTAATATTTTTACGTTTTACGTATTTCTTACGGACATCTTATGGTTACGTCCATTATGAATGAGCACTTACTGGTGTTCTATGTTCAATGGTTACCTACTGTTTTATTTTTTCCGTGTATAATTTAAAAAATAATAAACATTAATTTTTATTCTCATACAAAAACGAATAAAAAAAAACTTTACAAATAAAACAAGTAAAAAAACTGGTTGGTCTAAAAACATGCAAAACTGGAGGTTTAAATAGTTAATCGGGATTGGGAGACGTATTTTAAAATTGGAAAGGTTTGCAACCCTATAGGTATACAGGGTGTTTCACATTCGTGGTCCATTAGAAGTTTATGGGGAACGGAAAAAGATATCGATTTAAAATTTACAAAGCGTTTATAATCCATATGTCTAGTTTTCTAAAATATTTTGAACAAAATTCCACTTCCGGTTTAACCGGACCAACTTTGTTATTTCAAATAGAACTTCCCCATATATTATTACATTTTACAATGTCCTATAGTCCTAAAGTGAATGGTTTTTGAGTTATTATTTTTTTTCGTAATAATTTGACAAATGCGGGTCAAACAAAAATAGCCTGTAAATTTTTTTGTTCTTAGGTTTGCGAATATGGGGTGGAATTTTTGGAATCTTAAAACATTGTTTAAAAGACTCTATGTCAATTCTTTAGCATTTTTCAACAAATTACCTGAGGTCAAACCGGAAGTGGCATTTTGTTCAAAATATTTTAGAAAAATAGACTTAATTTGTTTATAGACGTTTTAAAAATTTCAAATCAATATATTTTGCCGTTCTCCAGAAACTTTTAATGGAACGTGAAACACCCTGTATACACATAAAAAAATCTAACATAGTACCAAGAACAGCGCTGTCATTAAATGCATTAAAATTGAAGCAATCTAAATTAGATTGTAACAAATTAGATGACATGTCAAAGAATTTATTGCGTTAAATGTATACATAGTACGAGTATACATACTATAGTAACGTTATTAAATAAATCAAATTAGTA